ATAATTTTAATCGAATATTTGCGTTGGGAAAATAAAAATCCCTTTTGATCTAACATAGTTTTTAATGCAATACTTGATATCAAGTTATTTGAAAGAGCGTAAAATGTGATCAAATTGCTCCATAAAATTGAGAGAGAGAGACTAAGATTTTATTTGGAGCAACTTTTTTATTTTTTCTAAAACGATTTTTTAGTACAAAAAAAATTTATCCAAAAAATTTGTACTAAAAAAATGCTTTAGAAAGCTGGCTAAATAAAGTCTAGCTTATTTTTATTTTTTAAAGTTATTTTTTAGTATATATTTTTTTAATTAGAAATCTTTTTGCTAAAAAACTGCTTTAGAAAACAATAAAATATTGTCTCAAACAGAGTCTAAACTTTGCGCTAAAACTCATTTCATCTTGATAGATATATTGACATCAGGAACATATAATATGAAGCCTCAACAAATATAAATGGGTTGAATCAAAATAGACTAAGTTGAACCTTATTATTAGCCTAATTAAGGCTAGACCGCTTTTTTCCTTTCATGTTGGCCTTACTTGTAGTAAGGAAGAAGGGTTTATAGGAATCATTGATATTGCAATATGAGATCTCGAGCTTGTGATTTTAATGATAATGAATATTATTTATTGAATCTCTATTTCTCCTAGCATTTGTATTTTATATCTAGTTTTTTGTGTACTAACATTTCAAGTACATCATACACTGTCCCAGTACTTTCAGTGCTGATCAAGGTTGGCTAGAATATGATGATATTAGGAAAAGTTTGTAATCTCTATTTCTTTATTTTTTATTTCTTGATTCAAAGTCATGTAAGGGTGTATGCTGATTTGGTGACCATGCACACACACACACTGGGGAGTGAGAAATTGAATTTTAAAATTTCTTTTTAAACTAATCATACAATACAATTTAGATCCTACTATACAGCCAATTATTAAAAAAAAAAAATTAAAATGGTTAATTTTATAATTATTGTATTTAAACTAATAGCACGTTACGAACACGATCGTACCGTACGATGAGCTTAACCCAGAGTTCTTAGTTGTCAATCAAATTTAATTAAGTATTTTAAATTTTAATTTTTAAACTAATCATACTGTATGAAGACATTTGTACCATGCATATGCTATTTTAAAATTTACCTATATTAATCTCCATGATTAGTCAATCAAATCAATGTTTAATTAATATGGTAGATCATACCATACAATCGGCAGAGATGAAATTCGATCGTCCCAAAGATCGTTCTGGATAAAATTTTAATTTTTGAACTAATCGCACAATACGATGTCAATCGTATTGGATGACTGGCAGAGATGATTTTTAATCGTCATGTATGATATTAAGATAATTAAACTAATTGTACTGTAATATCTATATATCATAATGTACTATTGGTATACAAAACTTGAACAGTACATCCTGTGACTGTTCCATCGTATTGAATGAACCTTACTTTTTAAACTAATTGTACTGTACAATCCTCGATTAAACTGTACAAATAGAGTCAGCATAATAAAAAAATTTGGACATTAAGTACGATTGGCATCAAATACAGTCATGTCACAAAGATTCTAGAACTTTCTTTTTATTCATACATGAAATTGTATAATAATTTGTATTTTAGTACTTAGAAATATGGAGTAAGTTGCATTAGGAAATTATATCAGGTTAAAAAAATATATGGCATTACTCCTATTATGATTTTTCAATGAGTTCCCTTCAAAACTAATATAATATCTTCTTACTGCCTCTCGAATAATAACTTGGTTTTATTTATTCATGCCATTTTTATGTTGTCAACTGTGAGACCTCGTTCCCTTACTGTTCCTCTCTGACTTGGATTTTCCTCCCAGGATCGTCCGGGACGATATTGAGATCGTCCAGGACGATCTGTACTGTTCAAACTATCGTCCTGAAAATAGTTCTGGGAACCGTCCAGGCCGATGATTTTGGTCTGATCGTCCCGGGACGATTTTGCGATCGGTCAGGCCAATCAGCCTAATGATATCAGAAAATCAGCTCGTTTTGAGGAGAGAGAAAATCATTTTTTAAACAAAATATCTGATTTGAGGAGAGAGAACGAGAAAGGGAAAAGAGAAAAAGCTTGGTTTCGGAGGCTGCGGATCGCTTTTCGTCCGACGCCGCTGTTGGGAAAAGTGAAGATCTCGTGGTAAGGACTCCGAATCCTATTTCTGTTTTCAGAGATATTGTGTTTTGACCGAGTTGTGCA